AACAGGAGAACTTTATAATGCAAACACAAATATCAATAGCTGAACAGACTAAGTGGAAGAAAGGATATCAGAGCTTGGAGACTATTTTGCTGAAATAGGGAAAGCAGACAAGATTAGAGAAAAAAGAATGAAAAGGAACAAACAAAACCTCAGAGAACTATGGGATTATGTTAAAAGACCGAACCTATGACTGATAGGTATACCTGAAAGAGACAGGAAGAACAGAACCAAGTTGGAAAACACACTTCAGGATATCATCCAGGAAAACCTCCCCAAACTAGCAAGCCAGGCCAACATTAAAATTCAGGAAATCCAGAGAACCCCAATAAACTACTCCATGAGATCAACTCTAAGACACATAATCATCAGATTCTCCAAGGCTGAAATGAAGGGAAAAATGTTAAGGGCAGTCAGACAGAAGGGCCAGGTCACCTATAAAGGGAAGCCCATCAGACTAGCAGCATACCTCTCAGAAGAAACCTTATAAGCTGGAAGAGACTGGGAGCCAATTTTCAACATTCTTAAAGAAAAGAATGTCCAACTTAGAATTTCATATCTGGCTGAACTAAGCTTCATAAGTGAAGGAGAAATAAAATGTTTTTCAGACAAGCAAATGCTGAGGGAATTCATCACTAGTAGGCCTGCCTTACAAGTGCTCCTGAAGGAAGTACTAAATATGGAAAGGAAAAACCATTACCAGTCACTACAAAAACCACTGAAATACACAGAGCAGTGACACTATGAAGCAAATACATAAACAAGTCTGCAAAACAACCAACTAGCATCACGATGTCAGGATAAAATTCACACATAACAATATTAACTTTAAAAATATAAAGTTAAATGCCCCAGATGGCAACCTGGATAAAGAGTCAAAATCCATTGGTGTGCCATAATTCAAGAGACCCATCTCACATGCAAGGATACATATAGACTCAAAATAAAAGGATGGAGGAAAAATCTACCAAGAAAAGGAAAACAAAAAAGGAGGGGTTTCTCACAGAGACTTTAAACCAACAAAGAAAAAGAAGGGCATTACATATTAGTAAAGGGGTCAATTCAACAAGAGCCAATTGTCCTAAATATATATGCACCTAATACAGGAGCACCCAAATTCACAAAACAAGTTCTTAGAGACCCACAATGAGACTTAGACTACCACACAATAAGAGTGGGAGACTTTAACTCTCCACTGTCAATATTATTAGATCATTGAGACAGAAAATTAACAAAGATATTTAGGACTTGATCTCAGCTCTGGATCAAGTGGACCTGATAGATATTTACAGACCTTTCCAGCACCAAACAACAGAATATACATTCTTCTCAGCGCTACATGGCACTTACTCTAAAATTGATTACATAATTGGAAGTAAATCACTCCTCAGCAAATGCAAAAGAACTGAAATCTTGTAACAGTCTCTCAGATCACAGTGCAATCAAATTGGTACTCAAGAGTAAGAAACTCAAAACCACACAACTACATGGAAATTGAACAACCTGCTTCTCAATGACGCTGAGGTAAATGATGAATTAAAGGGAGAAATCAAGAAGTTCTTCGAAACCGTGAAAACAAAGAGGTATCGTACCAGAATCCCTGGGATTCAGCTAAAGCAGTGTTAAGAGGAAAGTTTAGAGCACTAAATGCCCACATCAAAAAACTAGAAAGATATCAAATTGACAACCTAGTATCATAACTAAAAGAACTAGAGAACCAAGAGCAAACAAACCCAAAAGCTAGCAGAAGACAAGAAATAACCAAGATCAGAGTGGAAATGAAGGAGACAGAGACATGAAAAACCCTTCAAAAGAATCAGTGAATCCAGGAGCTGTTTTTTTCTGAAAAGATTAACAAAATGGAGAGACTGCTAGCCAGACTAATAAAGAAGACAGAAGAATCAAATAGACTCAATAAAAAATGATAAAGTGGATATTATCACTGACCTTACAGAAATATAAGAAACCATCAAAGAATACGATAACAGCTCTATGCAAATAAACTAGAAAATCTAGAAGAAATGGATACATTCCTGGATACATACACCCTCCCAAGATTGAACCAGGAAGAAGTTGAATCGTTCAATAAACAAGTAACAAGTTCTGAAAATGGAAGCAGTAATAAATAGGCTACCAACCAAAAATAGCCAGGACCAGATGAATTTACAGCTGAATTCTACCAGAAATACAAAGAGAAGATGATACCATTTCTTCTGAAACTATTCCAAACAACAGAAAAGCAGGGACTCCTCCATAACTCATTCTATGAGGCCAGCATCATCCTGATACCAAAACCTGGCAGAGATTCAACAAAAAAAGAAAACTTGAGGCCAATATCCCTGATGAACATTGATGCAAAAATTCTCAATAAAATACTGGCAAACTGAATCCAGCAGCACATCAAAAAGCTTATCTACCATGATCAAGTTGGCTTCATTCCTGGGATGTGAGGCTGGTTCAACATACACAAATCAATAAACGTAATTCATCACATAAACAGAACTAAAGATGAAAACCACATTATTATTTCAATAGATATAGAAAAGGTCTTCAATAAAATTCAACATTCCTTCATGTTAAAAACTCTCAATAAACTACATATTGAAGGAACATACTTCAAAATAATGAGAGCCATTTACGACAAACCCACAGCCAACATCATACTGAATGGGCAAAAGCTGGAAGCATTCCCCTTGAAAACTGGCACAAGACAAGGATGCTCTCTCTCACCACTCCTATTCAACATAGTATTGGAAGTTCTGGCCAGGGCAATCAGGCAAGAGAAAGAAAAAAAGGGTATTCAAACAGGAAGGGAGGAAATAAAAATGTCTTTGTTTGCAGATGACATTATCTTATATCTAGAAAACCACATTGTCTCAGCCCAAAAGCTTCTTAAGCTGATAAGCAACTTTGGCAAAGTCTCAAGATACAAAATGTGCAGAAGTCACAAGTATTCCTATACACCAACAACAGGCAAGCAGAGATCCAAATCATGAATGAACTCCTACTCACAACTGCTTCAAAGAGAATACCTAGGAATACAGCTAACAAGGGAAGTGAAGGGCCTCTTCAAGGAAAGGCTGCAATTGCTTTTGGTGATTTCATCATAAAATTCACTGCTCAAGGAAACCAGAGAGGACACAAACAAATGGAAAAATATTCCATGCTCATGGACAGGAAGAATCAATATCATGAAAATGGCCATACTGCCCAGAGTGATTTATAGAGTCAATGTTATTCCCATTAAACTACCATCGACATTCTTCATAGAATTAGAAAAAAACTATTTTAAAATTCATAAGGAACTAAAAAAGAGCCTGTATAGCCAAGGCAATCCTAAGCGAAAAGACCAAAGCTGGAGGCATCACATTGCCAGACTTGAAACTATACTATAAGGCTACAATGACCAAAACAGCATGGTACTGGTACATAAAAAGACACATAGACCAATGGAACATAACAGAGAATTCAGAAATAAGATCACACATCTACAGCCATCTGATCTTCAACAAACCTGACAAAAACAAGCAATGGGGAAAGGATTCCTTATTTAATAAATGGTGCAAGAGAACTGGCTATCCATATGCAGAAAATAGAAACTGTACCCCTTCCTCACACACAAAAATTAACTTGGAATAAAAGCTTAAATGTAAAGGCCAAAACTACAAAAACCCTAGAAGAAAATCTAGGCAATACCATTCAAGACATAGGCACAGGCAAATTTCATGATGAAATCACCAAAAGCAATTGCAACAAAAGCAAAACTTGACAAATGGGATCAAATTAAACTAAATAGCTTCTGCACAACAAAATAAACTATCATCAGAGTGAACAGGCAACCTACAGAGTGGGAGAAAATTTTTACAATCTCTCCATCTGACAATGATCTGATATCCAGAATCTACAAGAACTCAAACAAATTTACAAGATAAAAACAAACAGCCCCATTAAAAACTGGGCAAAGTACATGAACAGACACCTCTCAAAAGAAGACATTCACACCGCCAACAAATATATGAAAAAAAGCTGAATATCACTGACGGTTAGAGAAATGCAAATCAAAACCACAATAAGATACCATCTCACACCAGTCAGAATGGCCATTATTGAAAAATCAAGAAATAACAGATGCCGGTGAGGCTGTGGAAAAATAGGAACACTTTTACACTGTTTGTGGGAATGTAAATTAGTTCAACCATTGTGGAAGACAGTGTGGTGATTCCCCAAAGCTCTTAGAACCAGCAATACCATCTGACTCAGCAATCCCATTACCCAAAGGAATGTAAACCATTTGATTACAAATATACATGCACATGTATGTGTACTGTAGCACTATTTACAATAGCAGAGACATGGAATCAACCCAAATGCCCATCAATAATAGACTGGATAAAGAAAATGTGGTACACATACACCATGGAATACTATGCACCCACAAAAAGGAATGAAATCATGTCCTTTGCAGGGACATGGATGAAGCTGGAAGCCATTATCCTCAGCAAACTGACACAGGAACAGAAAACCAAACACCATATGTTCTTGCTTATAAGTGGGAGCTGAACCATGAGAACACATGGACATGGGGAGGGGAACAACACATACTGGGACCTGTCGGGGGTGGGGGTTGGGGGAGAGAGAGTATTAGGAAAAATAGTTAATGCATGCTAGGCTTTATACCTAAGTGATGGGTTGATAGGTACAGCAAACTGCCATGGCACACATTTACCTATGTAACAAACCTGATATCCTGCACATGTACCCTAGAACTAAAAATAAAATAAAATAAAATAAAATAAAAGTAGTACATTTTACTTAAGAGGGACTTTTGAAACCTCAATACAATCATCTCATTTTACATGATAACTCTGAGCTTAGAGAGGTACAAAAACTTGCTCATAGTCATAGCACTACTTAGTTACAGCACCTGGTCACCTCCTCCTGATTTCATGATTGTTTCACCAGATATCAGTATGAATTTTGAGAAAAATAAACAACAAATTGGGTATTCTTCCAAAATAAACATTTCCTATATTAATCTTATATAAAACACTTCACATGATTTCAAACTAGTCAATAAATTAACATTATATACCAAAGTAGCAACAAGTTAACAATCCCTTCTTTCATATTTTGATTAAGTATATTCTAAAAAGAAATATTACATTAAGATTTAATGTACCAAATACAACAGCATTTCATTTCAATATTTAACAATATTATGTTCAATATTGAAAAGTAAAAAGAAGCTAAACTTTATCTCTTTGTGTACTGATTTCAGCAATTTTGACAGTGTTTAATCCTCTATGCACGTGTTTCTACACAACAAGAAAGTATGGCTACAAGATTAATCCAAAGAACAATTTAAAAGCTATTTCAATGGCAATTTCTGTGACTGAGTCATGAAAACATACATAAAGTTCTTGAGGTTTTGGATGAAGAAAAAGTCTCCTGCAGAAGAAAAGAACACACTCATTTCAGAAATTAAAATAACAAGAACAACTCTAACCCTCCGATTAATTTAATTTTTGTTTCTGAAAGCATCAGTAGTAAATTAAAAATCCATGAATCTAAATCTGCAGAAGGGAAAAAGCAGCTAGATTTATTTCTAAATAAATAATATATGCCTTAGGTCAATTTTTTTTAGTTGTTCCAGGCTATAATAATCCTATTTTATCAATACGTATTATGGTACCACTCAGTTTTTAAATAGTAAATCTAGTTATTACAATAAAGCCAATAGCACTAGCATCATAGGCGCAATAGTTATTAAATATTTTATTGCCATTTACTTTCTAATGTTTAATTTTTATTAAAACATTAAACACTTGGTAGCTTTATTTTTGCAAATAGAACTGAATTGGAATTAACATTGAAGTTTTATTTGGTTTTCTTAAAGAGTTAAAATTTTAATTTATTTAATCAATACAAATTTATATAAATTGATCTATTTAAATTGGAGATACTTCTGACTTTCTGAAATTTCTCCTCTGCATAAATCTGCAATATCATAATTCAACACCTTTTGATTCTATTTCAATTGTCACGAATGTAGTTAAAACTCCATTGAACACCTGCATGTGTGCCTAACTAGTCTTCTCATTTCTAGTCTCTCTCATGTGCACATCATTCCATTGGCTGCTCCCAGTTTAATATTCCAGTAGTACAACTCTGATCACACTACATGGAATTAAGCTTACACTGATGTTCCCAAGCCTGGTTCACATGATAATCACAAGGGAACTTACTAAAAATACAGATGCTCACTTCCATAGATTTTGATTTAGTAGGTCTGGGGCCCAGGCATCTCTGATTTTAACAAGTGACTCAGGTGATTCTAAATCCCATAGACCAGCATATGGCAATCTCTGCTTTGGGTAATGTCTGTAAAGTGTCTGTCATACAGCTTAATACTACATGGTAGGTGTCCACTATTCTTACTTTCAACTAATTCTGTGCCCTTTCCTCCACCAACTTTTACTCCAACTCAAAGAACCTTCAATGAAGGCCCTCTGCAGTAGTCCTAACTTAGGTTCCCGACTTGATCTTTCACTTAATCTTTGTATATGTCATTCCTGTACCATCCTGGCAAACCAGTCTGCTCACTGCTGTGCTGTATAATTTCCATTGTTTGGGTCTTTGTTCATTAGATTTTGCCCCCTCCTCAGAATTCCTATAGCATTTGGTTGTATTATCTAATTCATTTTACAAATATGTATACACACATATATATATATGATTTCTCTCTATATCTATATAATATAGATATATAAATATATATTCAATCATATTTCATACTTCTGCTAGATGTAAGGCCCTTAGAGGCAATAACTGTGTTTTAGTGTTTGCCAGGCACAGTCTCACCTACTCAGCCATCACATATTTATCAAGTGACTATATTATGTGCCAGGTACTGTTGCAGGTGCCAGTGATGGACAAGACAGATACAATTCCTGACCTCAAGAAACTGACACTCTAATGCAGGCGGGGGTGGAAAAGGACAAGAAAATAAACAATAAAAGAGTGATACAGAGAATAACCGAGTGGCCACTTTGATGAGGGAAAGAGATTATGGATCTTCTCTGACAAGATGACCTGCTAGCACTGGTCTGAATATCAAGGATCCAGAAGTGCAAAGGTCAAGGGATAGAATATCCTGCGCAGATGGAACAGCAGAAGGAAGATTTGATTGGTGCTTGTGCAGCTGGTGCACAGTGCATGGAAGAGGAGGGAGACAGGAGATGAAAACAAAGGAGGCGAGGGTCCTGATTGGGCATGGTCTTGTGGCAGGGGGCAGAGATAGGAGAAGAGAAGAAAGAAGAGAGGATGGAAAGAGGGAAAGGAAGGGGGGGAAGAAATGAAGGAACTTGGGAAAAAAGGAAGAGGAGAAAAACTGTGAAATTATTCTTTCAGTGTATTACTAATATAATTTTGTAAGGTAATTTTTAATAGAAAAATACTTGGGAGGGATTTAAAGGAGACACGTAGCAAATAAAATAAAATATATTAAAATATTATAGCTAGATTAACAATTCTATGTCTATATTTTAAAATGTTACTCTCCTTTACCACTTTTCTAACACTTCAGTTTCAAATACTTTTTTTCCCCACTTACCCTACTACCCAGTAGGCCATAACTGGTGGTGCTTTTTTCTGATCAGTCCAGTTTTCAGGTGAACATTCAAACAATACACCATGTTCTTTAACAGGGTTAAGAGAAGATGCCGACTTTGCAGAATCTGAATGGTCTCTACGATTTAGTCCTTTCTTTTTCTGTAAATGAATAGGTATTGTTAGTATTAACTGGTATTACTGCTGTTACTTTAAAATGTTCTCACAGGTTAATTTGAATTGGCTGATCTGAATACTTAAGTGCCTGCAATGACATTCTTCTTATCTGCAGGAAAATTTCTATTCTTCCTCAATACTTAAATAACATACCCTAAAGGAGACTTCATGGATAAAGTGTACCTTGGCCTTTCTAGGGAACACTTTGTTCACAGCCCTTATTAGTAGTATGTACATTATATTATATTAGCAGTTTATAGATTTGTCTTCTGCAGTGGAAGATAGAAAATTATAGGTTTTTTTCCCTAGGGCAGAGACAATATACAATCTTTTTTTGCATTTTAAAATCAGCAGTGCCTGGTACACAGTAGATGCTTAATAAATGTGTTCTAAATGAACAAATAATTCTGTAAATAATTGAAAAAACATATATATTTAAAGCATTATTTTCTCTTCCTTTGACACATAATCTCTAATTTTCATACTGATTAAAGCATTAGCAAAACAATGACTCATTTGGACTAAAAGACTTCTTATAAGGTTCAGGCCAAAACTGTGGAGTGATCCTTGATTCTCTTCTTTCGCTTACAACTTTTATCTAATTCATCAACAAATTTTGGTTCATCCTCCAAAATATATCCAGATTCCAGAATCCATAATCACTTCTTGCTTTGAGAATTTCAAAAGGCTCCTAACTGGTTCTGCCTCCACCCTTGCTACTCTGTTTCCTGTTCTACCCACAGTAGCCTGAGCGATCCTTTAAAAAAAATTACAGTCATGTCCCTTCTTTGGGCAGAACTGTTCAAGAATGTATCATCTCTTTCAGAAAAAAGCCCAAAGTCCTTATCATAGTCCATTTGGCCATGCATAAGCTGGCCCTGCTACCTGTTTGATCTCTTCTTTCACTCTCTTCTCACTCAGTCTGCTCCAACACTCTCCCAGCCCCTAGAGGATGGTTTCAGGATGAAAGTGTTCCACCTCAGATCATCAGGCATTAGAGTCTCAGAAGAAGTGAGGAGCCCTTGCATGAATAGTTTACAATAGAGTTTGTAATCCTATGGGAATCTAATGCTGAGCTGATCTGACAGGAGGTGGAGCTCAGGCAGTAATGCTCTGCAGTTTTGCATTTGCTGTTCCTCTTTCTGAAAGCTCTGCCTCTAGAGAGCCACATGGCTTGCTCTCTCAGTTCATTCAGGTCTCTGTTCAAGTATCACTTGACATGATCAGAGGGATCTTCTAAAACAGTCACTCCTAACTCTCATCCTTACCATATTTTATTATTTTGCTTGACACTGATTCTTCTCAGCATATTATTTTCTAATTCTTTTCTCTCCTCCATTAGGCTTCATGAAGGAAGAGACTTTGTTTTGTCCACTGTTGTATCCCAAGCTCCTACAATAGTATCTTGTGCAGAGTAGGTACTTCAGTGTTTAAATAAGATAGGGAAAACAAGTTTATATTACTAAATATTATCAAATAAGTAAATGAAATATTCCTTTATAAAATTTATCAGTTATGTTAAATAGGGAAATAGGAGCATAAGAACCCAAAGCATATAGGAGTATATGGCCAAACACAGTAGTTTTACAGAATAACAATTTCTGAGGACTCAAAGAAAAATCCTATAAGACACAGAATTTCACTGGCGAATAAGCCCAGAGAGATGATGTAATTCAGCCCACTTGCTTCATAGCTGATGAAATAGGAGGAGGTGAGGCTCAGTACAGGATTCCTTATTCTTTGTCCAATGTTATTCCACTTTTAAACCCAAGATCTTCGCAAATTTGGCATTCTTAACACATGTATTGCTATATACATTACAACCATTTTCAGAGAGGTTTTTGGCTGTATAATGTCACAAGTAAACCTCTGTATGTTTGATCCTTTTCAAGAAATCAACACCTATCTTTTTCTGCCATTAAAACAATCTGATACTGTAATTGTATACAGCATTATTATTTATTCAACAGATAACAACATTCAATGAAACTTCATCCTGGATAGAAAAGCAATCAACCAACCAACCAAATGCCAAAACATTTGCATTAGTCTTGTGTCTATAGCTGTACCTTAACCCAGTGGTCCCCAACCTTTTTGAAATAGAGACCAATTTCTGGGGGAGGGATGGTTTCGAGATGAAACTGTTCCACCTCAGATCATCAGGCATTAGATTCTCATAAGAAGTTTGCAGCCTAGATCCCTCACATGCACAGTTTACAACAGGGTTTGCACTCCTATACGCTGCTGATCTGACAAGAGGCAGAGCTCAGGCGGTAGGCACCCTGGCCCACCACTTACCTCCTGCTGTGCAGCCTCGTTTCTAGCAGGCAACAGAGGGCTACTGGTATGTGGCCCAGGGGGGTCGGGGACCCCTGCCTTAATCCATTATATTCCAAAATGCCTTATACTGTTGGCTAAACATTTAAAGAATTATCAAAGTTATTTTAGGAACCAATTGGTAGATATTATTACCCAAGTAATGGTTGAGTCACAGATATCAAATGTGGAAGGTTAATTTATATTTAACAACTGTTTTCTATTTTGCTGTAGAAAACACAGGTCTACCATTTCCTGAAATCATAACCCAAGATATCAAATTCAGTGTGAAATAAAACCTTGAAGTACTGTGAGTATAACTGTTTTGGCACCCAAGTTAGATTGGGTGAATATTTTTAAAAAACTTAATTAAATGAAAACAATGCTGGACATATTGATTGGAGAATAGAATGCTTAGAGATCTGGAAATTAAACTGGCAGAAAACTATATTTATAGCAGTGCCTTACCTCTTCCACCAATGTCCGTTGGAAAACTGCACGAATGGAAAGACAACATTGATGGAAATTCTTTATTAGTTGAGGGTGGATAGAGCCACTTAGCTGTGTCACCTCTTCAAGGGTAGGAGTAATAAAGATTCCTTGCACTGTTTCTAAGGCAACATAGTGGAAAAGTGTGTTCTCAGGACCAGATGTCAGTCTTAAAAAGAAAAAAAAAAGAGAAGAAAAATGAAATTTTAGTAAATTTAAAAATATTGGTTCATTTTGAATTTAGTACACTTCTTACAAGCTTTTATCTACAATATAATATCAGTAGTATAATTAGGGATGGGAGACTGGGCTAACCATTTAATTCCCTCTTCATCCTTAACTGAAATATAAGCTAGGGTTATTAATTCCCTTAATGGAGACAAATACTACGTGTTATGCAAGGATAAATAAACATCAATTCATTTGCAAGTAACTTAATCATTCCTTTGCTAAACAACCCAAATTGGCTAACTGCCTCTTTTTCCATGGTTGGTATTAAATGACTCAGCTCATGTCTGGTTCAGATAGCTAAAAGCCATAAACAAGGTATCAGTCTAGGGTGGAGCACATATAAAAATACCTTCCAACAAACTAAATACATTTAAGTTAGTAGCATTAAAGTCTTTTCTCATGATAGTCAAACTGATGTTCCTAAAGAAAAAAAAATTATTATTATGATCTCAAAAGTTGGATTAATATTCTATATAATATCATGACAATTCCTGGTAGTATTCTACCACTTCTCATTATTACCATCTTTTTTCTTTCCTATGCTCTCTTACTCATTTTTTCTTTCTTCTGCATCTTTCCTCCCAGTTTAATCTCAGACAGGCCAGCAGAACCTATAAACACTGTTAATTTCTATCAGCAGTAAGATAAGCAAAAGAACAATAGTAATAGCAACAATGAAATACTAATAATAATTAACATATAGTGAATGCCCTTTATATACCAGGGTAGGTGCTTTATAATACCTTAGTTTTAATTCTTATAATGATATTGCAAGATAATATCCATTACCATCCTCATTTTAACCATGATAAAATCAACGTTCAGAGGACTTGGATTAACTTTCTTGAGAGGTCGCATAGCCAAATGGCAGATTTTAGCTGACTTTGAAGCTTGTTCTGTAATACCTTGCTTTTTCCTCTCCAGGGCTGACTTCTGATTGCAGCAATTCCTCATATGCATCTCAAATACTCAAGTTGCCCCATTTTAATCCTTCCATGATAAAAGGCCGTCTATACTAAAAAATATCTTCAGGTGATTTTTTTCCAGCCATAAGCATAGAGGCAAGAAAAAGGCATATATTTTAGCTCTTAGCCTAGATACTGCCTAGATCATCCATGCAGATTAAATTCTTGTTAAACAGTTAATTAGGCAGCATGATCCAAATAAACTTCTTATCACTGATTTATGGCCTTGGTACTCTTTTTAAGACCAGGGATAGGGAGGGAATGAAATTATTTACAAATTATTTTCTCACTTTTCCATAGGGCAACTGGCTCATTAACAACTGGTGGCTGACAACCTTTCCAGAAATAATACCTTAAATAAGATGAAAGAAATTATGATTATTTTAAAAGGAAAATAATTTAAAATATACATTTTAATCTGGAGATCTTCAGATTTAAAAAGTATAGAAAGAAAATTATTCTTTACAAAAGAATTATTAATAAATTTCTTTTGGGGGGGTTAGAATTAACATTTTGGTTATCTTTCAAATTTTCTCTAAAAAATAAGCCACAATACAATAAGCAGGTTTAGCTCTTAAAAAACCATAAACTCATTCACTCTGTGTGTGTGTGTGTGTGTGTGTGTGTGTGTGTATACATATATACATATATATTTTTAAACAGTGTTTTGCTCTTATTACCCAGGCTGGAGTGCAAAGGCACAATCTTAGCTCACTGCAACCTCTGCCTCCCAGGTTCAAGCGATTCTCCTGCCTCAGCCTTCTGAGTAGCTGGGATTAGAGGCATGTGCCACCATGCCTGGCTAATTTTGTATTTTTAGTAGAGATGGAGTTTCTCTGTGTTGGTCAGGCTGGTCTTAAACTCCCGACCTCAGGTGATCCACCTGCCTCAGCCTCCCAAAGTGCTGGGATTACAGGCATGAGACACCGCGCCCAGCCCACTCAGTCTACATTAACTAAAAGTTTTAAAAATCACCAAATAAGCAATTACCCAGTAGGAAGACAAAAGATTTGTATAAGAAAGCAGATAAAGTCAGATTTAGTCTTCAGAAAGGTTACTTCTGCAGTTGAGAATGGGTTTAGTGTAGGCTAGGAGTTGAGACATCGCTGCAATAAAACCAGGTGAAAGAAAATGGGAGCCTTAACTAGGGTAGTGTCAATAGAGGGGTGAATGGATTCAAGGACTACTGGAAGAATGGGTAGGACTTAGTTACTGAATGAGATGTTTTATAGATATTATTTTCATTATATATATTTTATTTTACAAAGATGGGTGCATATAGTTTAGGATAGTATATTACATCCTGTTTTACATTATGCTTTTAAAATGAACTACATAGTATTAAAACACCTTTCCATGTCAATAATGAGAATAAACACCCATCTTTGGCATCTTTTAAAATAGGACAGCCTGTGATTTACACTACATGTGAATTTATGTTTAAATCATTGAACTTGAAAAAAGAGTTTCCTTTTACTAGAGACAATGCTAACATAACATACACATTTAAAAAATTCTGATATGGAGGTAATAAAATTTCAGAGCAATAGTTTTTGTTAAATGGAAGACTAGAGTTTTGTGAAGGTACTTTTGGGTTCCATAAAGGGTTTGGTTCCAATTTATTGGTCTTAAAATCATGTTTAATTATCAAAAAATTAAACATTCATATTTAGAGGCACTAAATACCAAATTTTAACACTTCAGATTTCTAACATATTTTATGCAGACAAGTTACTTTGTTTTTGTCTTGACTTCAGAAAAAAAGAATTTCCTAACAACCTTGTAACACATATATTTGAACTTACTATAAAGTGTTTCAATGATTAAGAATGTGGTAGCTCTGTACTGTATGTGTGTGAATTCTAATTGTACATGTCTAGTTGTTCAAATAAAAATATACAATTGAGTTTATTACACCAGTTGATCCCACATATGACATCCCACACATAATTAAATGTCTGCCAAGACCCAGGCAGAGCTACATCACCACATGATAACTGCATAAGAAGTGAATGTATAACATTTCATATTATAATAATTAGAGACAGTTTAACTTGCTAAGCATTATCTCCTCACTCAGTTTCTTGTATGTCAGAACTCCCTACTCAATGCAAATTCGAAATTTTACCTATTTTCTAAAGAGAGTGTAATGGGTCCAGTTCCCTGGGACTCAAACTCTGAGAGTGAGCTATGCCGGAAGGAAACATTAGGAAGTACTCTTGGGAAAAACAGCTGTAGGGGTGGAATGACTAAGCAGGACTCAGCAGAGGGAGAAGGTGAAATGTGCTATGGCAGCAACAAGCCTCAGTGGATACCACTGGGTACTATGAAGCTTGGTTGGCCTTTCAGAATTGTCTTCAATTTAGGCAAGGGGCCAAGCCTTTGTACTCACTTATTTATTAGTCATTGGAAGTGGGCTCCTCCCAGGAAGGAGTGTAACCTTAGCTGAGTCAACAAGCTTCCATGTAGGACAAGGCTAGGGGAGTGACATGGCTAGGGGAGCTCTGAGGCATTAGCAGCCACCACTCTCACGTGTTGGGAAGGAATACCCTGAGCTATGGTGTAACTGGACAGCACACCACTGTATCCACCAAACACTCTAAAAATAGTAAACTCTAATTTAAAAATTATATTAAATATACAAAAGGGAGGTTACCTGTGGAAGTGAAATAAAGGGGCACTTTCACATTTTGAAATATTACTTTGTGTGTTTTTCTCTCTTACAGTACATGGTCATTTTCCTAAATGTATAATGAAATATTAAAGCAATACCACAGATATTATCTTTAATATGTAAGATATATCAGAATTACATTTGTTGAGTAAAATATATGTTATAGAATTGTACTTTATCACTGTAAAACTTCCTGAAAGAGTTTAAGTGAACAAGAATAAGGAAGTTTCTTACTTCACTGTGTTATATATTTCTAATTCTTTTTCTGGAAGGTCCTTTTTCAAGTTTCCCAAATGAAATGGATTTGGAAGAGTAGACTTCTTTTTAGTGACCTGAAAAATATAGGTAAGTAGATTGGTTTATATCTAAGAATGGAATAATATAGCAGAAATAATTTACAAATTAAACATCCTTCTAAGAGAACTACTTACCATTTTGCAATGCTTCCTTTAAATATTTTTGATGCTAACTTGTACCTCTTCACTTATACTTGGCTGTCAGGGATCCCAGGGTCATGTTCTGGGATGGCATGATGGTATTCCCTGAAAACCTCCTACCAGATCCATTACCAAGTTTGCACGTATGCATACTTGTCTCCCTCCCTAGACTCTGCACTCCTCAAAGTCAGGGGCTGTGTCTTATTCATTTCTGTATCTCCTTTGTGTAGTATGGCCCTTGGCACTTAGTAGGTATTTAATCAACATTTGTTGAATGGCTGAATTTTTTTTTTTTTTTTGAGGTAGAGTCTCACTCTGTCACCCAGGCTGGAGTGCAGTGGCGCGACCTCAGCTCAATACAACCTCCACCTCCTGGGTTCAAGTGATTCTTCTTCCTCAGCCTCCTGAGTAGCTGGGATTACAGGTGCCTGCCATAATGCTGAACTAATTTTTGTATTTTAGTAGAGACAGGGTTTTGCCATGTTAATCAGTCTGGTCTCAAACTCCTGACCTCAAATGATCTGCCTGCCTTGGCCTCCCAAAATGCTGGGATTTACAGGCGTGAGCCACCTCATCCAGCTGAATGGCTGAATCTTAAAGGTGAACTCAGTTTCTCTTAGGAGCTGTTCCGGGCTTGGTAATTCTTTAATCTGTACAAATCCTTTTAGACTATTTCTACCAATTTCATCGACTGGGATAATAGGTATGGTACTGATGTCAGTATTTCCAAATATACCCCTCTTAGGGCTCCAAAAGTATTCCGTTGTTTGGAATGAGGAGATTGCATCTGGTTATTTATGCCATGCTACTAGCATCTCGTATTTTATTTGTGCTCCTTCTCAGACTTCTCATCTGGTATTACTTCCATCCACCCACATGACAAGTTTCAAAAATGTTTTGAAAGACGGCAGCATCACTAGAATAAGTACAAAGCCTCCCAGGGTGAATGTTTTGATAATCACTTGGATATTTTATGGAATTTTCATGGGGAAAAAATCAGGAAAAATGATAATCTGAAAAATGAACATCCTCTTTACAGTCAACTTTTAAATCTTTGAGTATTATACAGGTTTAGATTTTAAAATCTATAAAAATAGGACAATATACACACAGAGAGACATATACAGACACACACACATACACACATTTAGGGTTCTGATTCTCCTTGCTGAACATTTCATTGGCTATTTAGTCAGATCACCCCACAACAGGCACCACGGCTTGGATGCTGTCTGTTATCATTGCAAATAGGGAAGAAAGAGATGAACATGGAAATTAAGATTAAAGTTTCCCTATTTCTAAGTACTGCTAAACAGAAAATGAGGTCAAGGGGTTCTTGTCTTATTACTTGATATTTTTCTTTCTTTTTTTTTTTTTTGAGATAGAGTCTCATTCTGTCACCCAAGCTGGAGTGACAGATTGTGCAGTGACACAATCCTGACTCATTGGCAACCTCTGCCTCCTGGGTTTAAGCAATTCTTGTGCCTCAGCCTGCACCATGCCTGGCTAATTTTTGTAATTTTAGTAGAGACTGGGTTTCACCACGTTGGCCAGGCTGGTCTCCAACTCCCAGCCTCAAACAATCTGCCATGCCTGGCCTGATATTTCTTTTTCTTTTTGGTTCAAAATCATTGGTTTGTCAGCAGTGACTGAAACATCCACCATGTCAAATGCAGAATGGTATGCCACAAAAAAAAAAAACTGTCTTGCAATTATAAAATAAGGACTGGAGAGATAGCTTAGCTCCCAGAATGTACACACTTGAATGAGCACACACCTTAAGCAAGGTTCCACTTTCTTCTAAACCATCAGAGCCCTGAGATTCTCTTTCCTTCCGTACTGCATCTGGTGTAGTATGGGGGCTAAAGCCATCATCTTCTCCACCTTCACAACCATTGTCAGATCCTCCACTGCTTCGCGAAGGACTGGGCTTACGTGTCTTTAAGGAGTAGTCACCAAAAAGCGTTCTTCTACATGTTGGAGTTGTTACTTTGGAAGTACCTTGTAGCCTACTGAGAATAGGTGAAGTGGTCAAGCTATCTGTTTTTTCACGTGATCCAGTAAGGAACCAGTCAGCACAAGACAAACAGGGGGTTGGAGAAGATGCTAGCCGCTCATCTATGCGAGAATCTACTTCCTCCAGCTGGTGAAGAGTTGTTTTGACCTGATCCACATATATACAGTCCGGTCCAGGATTCCCAATAGCTTTGGATGCACAGCCTCCAGCTTCTAATAGTACACATAGCATATAATGTTTCTAAAGGGAAAAAAATTACAAATGTAGGTTTAGTTACCATGAAAATATTTATATAAAATGTACATGTATAAATTTATAAATACTGAAGACATAGAGGCATATGGCATAATCATATGATGATTATAAAAATTTCTTTAATCATCTTTCCTTTTTGGTTATTATCAATGCTTCTTGATCTCAGTTGAAAACAATCTTACATTGCCTTATCTTGATATAACATCAAACCACTTCTTTTGAGACACAGAATTCCCTAAGATAGCTGTCAAAGAGCCTCAGTTATCGGAAGTCCTTTCATCTACAATTACATATTTATTGTTTCTGATTCTATATTCTTTTCATGTCTCCCTCTATCTCCCAAAACAAGCCAATGGATAAAACCACTAGAGAAAGGGGAACAAAAGACTTTTAAAACCTGCTAAAATATTTTCTTAGATTTTATTATTTGTCCATTGGTATTAAATGGATGCAAAAGAAAAGGAATAAGGGGCATGTAATATTTCCTTGAATACTAGTATTAGACATACTAATTTTAAATGAGCATGTTTGTGTATTTATTTAGATAATCAATAGATACCTACCCACCCCTGCATCCCTCATCCCCAGCCAAAAAAAAGAAAAAGAAAAAAAAAAAAAAAACAAAAAATGTCAAGAAAGAAGCTGAGGTAAACTTACCAAGCCAACAATTAGCAAAAAATATCTTCCTTCAGGTTCCGGAAAGACTTCAGTGTTTGAGTCTGCCAAAGGTTGGAGGTGATGCTGAGGAAACACTTCTCTCCATATTATCAACTGACCAATTCTTTGTTTTGCTGCTAATGGCAGCAGACAATAGTGGCGACAGTATACAGCAATATCAATAAGATCATCCTTGGGCAAATGATTGCATATCAAATAACCCTTGAATTTAATCACAAAGAGCAAAAGTCTACCAGTGATATAAAGCAATTAATGCCATAATATATTTCCAAGAGTTTTACAAACACTTCTTCAGTTGGTTTAAAATATTCTACTTTCAAATGGGATAAATACAGTAAAAGCAAATGTTTTTTTCTTGAGGTCGAAATAGAGATCAAATGATAACTTAAGGTCTACCAATAGGTAGACTTAAGCACAAAGCAAGACCAAGATCACTTCTGTGTACTACAGCTTCAGTATTTAGCAAAATTAAAAAAGAACTGAATTCTGAGAATGGAAAGTCAAGAAGCAGGGGTCATGACAGAGACTCACTTTTCACTGTGCATTCTTCCCTATTGCTTCTTTGTTAGATGTGTTTTAAAATCCTTTTTTAAAAATAAAAATACTTAAATTCATTTGATGCCTAATTTGCTTTACATGGACATTAACCAAATGTTATATAAGATTTATTTAAATGATGTAGCTTACTTTTCTTTTTTCCTTTTTCTTTTTAATTGAACTGAGTCTCACTCTGTCACCCCAGGCTGGAGTACAGTGATGTGATCTTTGCTCACTGCAGCTTCTGCTTCCTGGGTTAAAGCAATTCTTGTGCCTCAGCCTCCCGAGTAGCTGGGATTACAGGCATGCACCACCTACCCCAGGCTGGAGTGCAGTGGTGTGATCTTGGCTCACTGCAGCTTCTGCTTCCTGGATTAAAGAAATTCTTGTGCCTCAGCCTCCCAAGTAGCTGGGATTACAGGTATGCACCACCATGCCCAGGTAATTTATTTTATTTTTTTTTTATTTTTTTTTATTTTTAGTAGATGCGGGGTTTAACCATGTTGGACAAGCTGGTCTCAAACTCCTGACCTCTGGTGATCTGCCTAACTCGGCCTCCCAAAGTGGTGGGATTACAGGCGTGAGCCACCATGCCCAACCAACTTTTCAACAGAGGATAAAAAACACACTCTTTGAAAAGGAAAGCAAGGAAAGTATTGTTCTTCTCTCTTACATACTTGGTTCTTTGAGTGCTGTTTCTCCTGTGCACATTTGCAAATACTTTATAAATGCTTTAGAATGCAATGAAATAATAAATATTTACCATATTTACAAATATGTAGATGCAAATCTTGTTTTAAGGTCTTAATCTGATCAGGCATGGTGGCTGATGCCTATAATCCCAGCACTTTGGGAGACCAAGGCAGAAGGATTGCTTGAGCCTGGGAATTGTTTGAGCTGAGAATTGGAGCTGCAGTGAGCTATGATTGTACCCTGCACTCCAGTCTGGGTGGCAGGGCAAGACTCTGTCTCTAAAATAAGAAAGATCTTAATCTATGGTACCTATATTCAGAAGAAAAGAGATAATGTATTTTTCATGTTTGTAAAAGTATTGAAAATTTAGGTCTGTTTATATAGCAGCTGGACATTTCGATTTCAAGCTTTAGCTTACCTTGTAAAACAGAGAAGAGCCCAAAATTGTATACAGCCGCCTCATGTCATAGTAATCCTCAGACTGGGGGAAAAATTCATAGTGGATTTTATATTTTAATTTTTTTGTGATAAAAATTCCAATTAAGCTATAATAGTTAAAATGAAAATTACATGCTTTAGTAACTAAACTTTTCATAGTGCCATCTTTAGAAACTAGTTTACCAGAGTATTTGGATGAAATATAATACGCATATATTTATTTCATTGAGAACAACCTTACTTTTTATTCTTTTAAGACTTTTGATTAGAGACATTAAGAACATAAAACCTGTTACTCTATGAGGAATTTCTAACAACAAATCTTTTTAGGACAAAAAGCTTTTACTCTATATAATATACAATATCCAATATTACCATATGCTATTTTTGAAAGCACAAATTGGTGCAACCTATTTGCAAGCAACTGAGTGGTATGTATCATATCATTTGAGTAATTCTACTTATAGAAATCTACAGGAATACTCAAGCAGTGGAATCAGTTGGATTATTTGTAATATAGAAAAATTAGAGATAACATGAAAATCAACAATGGAGAAATGGCCAGCAAAACTAGATATACCACAGAATATCATACATATGTTAAAAAAAAAAGACTGATCTATTGGAGCAGGCATAAAAGTTTTTAGGATACACTGCTCAGCAAATCATGCAAGCTGCAGAACAAAATATACATTATCATCTGATTTTTGTTAAAAATAGCACCCCCACTAACTATATACATGTGTGTTTGTTTGTGTGTGGGAATGTATGTACATGGAAAAAGGTCTGGAAGGATACGTTCCAATCCATAAGAGCAGTTACACCTGGGGATGGAAGTGATAGAAATGGATAAGCGAAGATATTTGCTTTTAATAACCATGCTTGGATCTTTACCCAGTATACAGCTATTACTTTTATAAGTTTTTTTTTTTTCAACCCAATGAAACCTAAAGAAAACTAACAACTGGAAATAAACTAACCATTCCTCAACTGGGGAATGGATAAACAAATTGTGACACATCTATATGATGAAATACTACTATTCAGCAATATTAAGGACTGAACTGCCTGTACAATAGCATGAATGAATCTTAAATCCATTATGCTAAGTTAAAGCCAGACACAATAAATTAACTACTATATGATTGTTTATTTAAATTCTCAAGACACATGTGGAGTGTCTGCTTTATTCTAAGTGGCTGTCAGAGGCCGAGTCATGGACCAGGAACCAAAGAGTTGGGAACTGTGGAGCTGAACAGGGCAGGGATGTTCAGGTATCAGGAGGTAAAAGGAGGTCAGCTGAGTAGCCAGACCAGCATTAAGGCCAGGTTGAGCAGGATGATTAACTTACATGACATCCTGGAAAAGGCAAAATCATGGGGACAGAACACAAATCAGTGATTGCCAGAGACTGGGGGTATGGAGAGTGGTTGACTGTAAATGGGCACAGAAGAATTTACTGAAAATAAATTATACCTTAATAATTTTTAAAAACTAAGGAAAACACAGCATCAGGATATATCTTAAATCTAATTTCAAGAAAACATTTAGAAGAGATTCTTATTTTCATATTTTTTAAAATTAAGGCAAAATTTGTATTCTGTGAGTTTTGACAAATGCATACAGTTATGTAAGTGCTACCAAAATTGAGATGTAGAACAGTTCCCTCGACATCTCCCTACACCAACTTTTTTTCTGAGTAGTAGTCCATTCCTGAATATATCAAAATTTGTTCTGGTATTCACCCCTGCTAATGGACAGTTAAGTTATTTGAGTTGTTTCCACGTTTTGGCTATTACAAATGAAGTTGCTTTGTATACAAGTCTTTGTATTACATATGCTTTCAGTTCTCTTGGTTTAAAAAGATAGGAACAGGCTGGCTGAATTATATGGTAGGTATATGTTTAGGTTATTAAGAAACTGCCAAACTGTCTTCCAAGGTAATTGTACCATTTTACATTCTCAATTTATCCATTTTTTTCTTTTATGAATTGTGTTATTTTTCTGTATCCAAGGAATCCCAACAGATCATTTTTTAACCCTAGAATATATTAACTCCACTGCTCATTAAAATAATGTTCCATAAAGGCATGAATTAGATTTTTAAATTAAACGTATTGGATGTAAGTTCCAAACACTGGATATTTTAATATTTTAGATCTGAACTGCTCCTAATAGTTAATAGCCATCTAAACACTTTCCATTAGTAAAAAAATTATGAGCCACGAAAAGCTTACCATGAAGAGTTTACCATGCTTAAATTTCTGTTATTTGTACAGACAAAACACCCCTCCATTTGTTTAGGGTCTTTGCTAAGACTCAGTTACCCCTTCAAGCAAATTTCTCCTCCCACTTTCACCTGCAATCTTCTTGAGGATAATCTACACTTCATGGCTTCTAATTCCTTACTTCCCATTACTTCATAAAAGAACTTTTATTACTGAGAATTTTAGTGTTTACAAAAAGGAAATTGTACAATTAGTTCTTGCATAGCTATTGCCACCCAGGTTTAACTGTGCCAGTCCTTGGCTCATCTTGTTTCATCTGTATCATCATCTTCCCCTCCTCATGCTGAATTATTTCAAAACCAATCCCAGATATTAAATCATTTCATCTATAAACACTTCAGAATGTATGCATAAAACCGAAGCAATCTCAAAATATGTATAATCATAATACAATTATCACAATCTAAAGAATTGTTTTCATCTAATACACAGACATTAGTGTTTACATTTCCTTGAATATATGAGACCCAAGAATAGATTCTGTCTCATTTATGAGATTCCTTGACTCATAGATGTTTTTAAAAGTTTGTTTGAATGAGGATCTAAGAAAGGACATACATATACTTGGTTGATAATATTAAGTCTCTTGTATCTGAGTCCTCTCTCAATTTCTCTCCCTTCTCCTCACCCTCACACCACCATCTTTTTCTAATTTATTTGGAGAAGAAAGTGTCCTGCAGTATTTACCACTCTGGATTATGCTGACTGCAACTTTTCTTCCCCAAATGGGGTCTTGCTAACATGTTCCCTTCCAGTGGTATTTCTTGTTGGTTGGTAGTTACATCTGAGGCCTCATCAAGCATATTTTATAGGTCATCTGTGTGCTTCCATCGGGAACAACATATTATCTGCCATTTTTCTTTTTGTGATATTAGCAGCTATTGAGGACCTTTGCCTAGATCCATTAATTCATTGAGGGACTGCAAAATGGTTATATTCCAATTCTGTCAGTCTTTCTTGATATTTCAAGGTTACCTCTGTTTGGTAACATGGATATACGGTTCAGACAGGAAAGGCAGGATAAATGTCTGATTTTTCTTCATTTAACAGTTTTCACAAAAACAAGTTGGCGCCCTCATATTCTGCAAAGTTGGCTAATAAGAATCCTTTTTTTTTTTTAAGTATAATTATGCACTCATGGACTTATACATATCTGATGTGTTTCAATCTTTTGTAGGTATTTCCTTACAGATGTTAAAGAGGGAGGCTCTTCAAGTTGTCTCATGACAATTTGAGTTCTACTATAACCCTATCAATTTTTGGAAAGCTTTCTGGATTTCCGATATGACAAGATGTTCTTAGACTTATTTTGTACATTTTCAGCCCCAATTTTGGATGAGCCAATTCTCGAGGAGTCCTAGTTCCTTTTGGTGAGAAACGTTATTTATATACCATGTCCTGGGTATTCTGCGATGGTCACTGTTGCTAGGCCTTTTCGTTGGACATAGCTAGGAAATTCAATAATTAAAAGATTAAAACCCATATTGATACTTCCAATTTAAGTACAGCTCTAGAGGATTCTTATTTAACTTAATTAGTATTACATCCATATTCATTTTCCTCAAAAGCTTAGTTCTTAGTGACATGTAATGTATGAATATCAAATGTAATGAATCATTTTTAATCCCATAATATACATTGTGTAACAAATATTTCAACTGAGTAGAAAATCTTAAGGTAAGGAAAATAGATTTTGTCAGTGTCAAAACAGAGGTCTAATGTGTATTTCAAGATTATTATATATCGACTTGGTAAATAGTTAGAATAATGACTGGTATACAAAATAAAAATTCAACATTGAGCCCTTTATAAAACCCACTCCTTCTCTTACCAGTTCTGCAAAATCTGCAGCCTCCAAGTCACTTAATGCCATGTCTAATTCCGTCTATGTTAAAAAAAAAAGTCACATAAACATTTGACTTATATTAAGTTACTTTTTCAAAAATGGCCATATAAAATTGCTTAAATTATTTTCGAGTATCTTTCTGTTTTGTGTTACTTAGGAAATGTCTCAAAATGGAACATATTGTTTTTAAGCTTTGCAATTATAAAAGCTTACTTATTTAACTTATTGTTTTTAAGCTTTGCAAATATAAAACAACTTACTCATTTAACATAGCATATTTCAACTAAATCTCAATAACTACAAAATAGTCCTTACCATATATTCAATGCATAGCAAATTTATGAGGTTCAAAAGTTGCTTTCCAGTTTTAAGTTAGAAATTAACCCATCTGATTTCATAGAAGAAAATGAAAATCAGTCTTAAAGTAGCTAACTTATTTTGAGTTGTTCTTGTTTCTCCATTACTTGTGTATTACTCAATAGTTAGATTCTTGAAAAATATCAACATTCTTCCCTGTCTTTCTCTTGGACACAGTGTTTTATATTCAAGTGTTATCAATCTTTATTCCTAGATTAAAACGCCCTCTGGAATCTGGCATAGTTCAACTCCCCCACAGGGTTATTAGAAAAAAAATAGCTTATTTAGGATTTGGATTTTGTTTCTATGGAAATTGCCTTAACTCTTTCATGCATCATCTTTGTTCTTCTTTGAAGCATCCCTAATTTAAAAATAGAATAAATTTATTCTGAAGTTTAACCTATAATACAAATATATACATAAATCAAAACTGCTGGCAATTGATTTTTGTGGCATACATGCTATTTGTGAATAAGAATCCTTTTTTTTTTTTTGAGACTGAGTCTCACTCTGTCACTTAGGTTGGAGTGCAGTGGCGCGATCTCGGCTCACTGCAAACTCTGCCTCCTAGAAAATTCTTTTTTTTCTTTAAATGCCAAAGCACTCTCTGCAGGACTGTTTCACACACAAATTATGTCTTACTGAGAAGACGAAAGCTTTTGAAATATTAGTCATGCCTTTCAATGCTTCTCACACAGTATGACTTATTACTCATTTGTGACCTACATTTTTCTGCATCTTGCAAATACTTTAGGTTCCATTTTTTGTGGCTACTAGTCTGTCTTGTGAAAAACTGCAGGACAAAATTACCGATTTGTGATTTTTTATCTCAAAAACTGTTCAATGAGTTGCTATTCCTGCTACTAAACTCTATAGTCAATTAATGTACAAGATTACTGTAATATATATGTTTGTTTATATTCCTTAAATGAAAACATAAAATATCTTTTAATTATTTCACTGTATCCTAGGAAAATATGATTGAAAAAAAAAAAAACCATCAAAATAAAGAACTTCTCAAATACCTGGAAAGGAAAACTGAAGTAAGACTTCATTATATACTAAAATTGGAACAAATACATTTTTTTCCAAGTTAAAAATAACAATTTATTTTGTTTTTAAAAATAAACAAACAAAAATCACTATTTCCACCTAAAATTGGCAGGTATAAGTTACCTTATACACATGTTTTTAACTAGATTTCTTAAGGCATTAAATTCCTTAACATTTTCCACTAGAAGATACATAGTCAATAAATCCTACAATTTTTAATAATGAGAAATATCAAGAGAAATGGAATCAACCTAAGTGTCCATCAACAGATGAATAAAGAAAATGTGCTAAATATACATAATGGAATACTATTTAGCCATAAAAAAGAACAAAATCCTGTCATTTATGACAACACATATGAACCTAGAGGGCATTATGTTAAGTGAAATAAGCCAGGCACAGAAAGACAAACACCACATGATCTCATTCATATGTGGAACCTAAAAAAGCTGATATCACAGAACGAGATAGTAGAATGGTGGGTACCAAAGGCTTGGGCAGTTAGGGGAGAGGGTGAACGAGGAAATGTTGGTCAAAGGATATACAATCACAGATAAGAGGAGTAAATTTTTTTAAAAAATTAGAAAAGTTAAGCTTATAGAAATGAAAACTAGGCAACTCATTGCCTGGGGCTGGCAGGGTGGGGAGAAGAAATTGAGAGGGGAAAGAGAGAAGTAAAGAATAACTACTAATGGTCATGGAACTTCTTTATTGGATGACGCAATGTTCTAAAATTGATTCTGGTGATGGTTAGGCAGCTCTGTGAACAGACTAAAAAACATTTAATTGTACATTTAAATGGGAAAATTCTATGACATGTAAAATATCTCAATGAAGACATTAAGGAAAAAGAACTTGATCAAGTTCATATAACTATTGTTCAAGCTGAAATTTTTAAAAATAGTCAAGAGAAAGTCTTGATTATTAAACTGCTGTGCTATACTGCCTTAAATGAAGTAACTGGCATTTGAAACAGATAGGGCTTTATTGGTCTAAAACTGTGAGGTTTAATAATTTACCATCATGTCTCAGAATGTTTCAGTATAAAATTAAGGTCTTAAAAGTATTTTTAACTAAAGAAAAAAATGAAATCACAACTTATCAAAATTTATGTAGTGCAGCAAAAGTGGTGCTTGGGGGAAGTTTATAGCATTAAATGCATATATTAGAAAAAAAGAAAGATCTAAAACCAATAATCTAAGTTCCTATTTTAGGAAACCAGAACAAAAATCAAATTAAATCTAAAATAAGCAGAAAAAAAGAAATAATAAAAATTAGAGGAGAAATCAATGACACTGAAAACAGGAAAGTCATAGAGAAAAATCAGTGAAACCAAAAGTTGGTTCTTTGAAAAACAAACAAACAAACAATAAAATTGATAAGTCTCTAGCCGAACTAATAAAAAGAGAGAGGACACAAATTACTAATATCAGAAATGAAAGTGGGAGCATTACTGCAGAGTCCATGGACTTTAAAAGGATAAAAAAAGAATACTGTAAACAACTCTATGCTCACAAATTTGATAACCTAGATGGAACGGGCAAATTTCTTGAAAGATACAAGAAGAAAAAGATACTATAAATTGGCTTACACTTATTAAAGAAGTTGAATCAATAATTAATCAACTTGCACCAGGCCCAGATGGGTAGGCTGTGAATTCTACCAAACATTTAAGTATGAAATTATACCAATTCTCTATAATTTCTTTCAGAAGACAGAAGCAGAGGGAATACTTCCTAATTCATTTTATGAGGTCAGCATTACCCTACTACTAAAACCAGACAAAGACATTACAAGAAAAACAAACAAACAAACAAAAAATGACAGACCAATATTTTTTATGAACAGATGCAAAAACCTCCAATAAAATATTAGCAGAGGGAACCTAACAATGTCTAAAAAGAAATATACACCACAGTGAAAGGGGATTTATCGCAGGTATGCAAGGCAGGTTTGACATTCAAAACCCAATTAATATAATCCATCAGATCAACAGGCAAAAAAACCCCCAAAAAACCACGATTTCTATATGCAGAAAAAGCATTTGATAAAATCTGATACTCTTTCATGATAAAAACTCTTAGTATACTAGGAATAGAGGGAAACTTCTTCACCTTGACAAATAATATCTACAAAAAACTTATGGCTAACTTCACACTTAATGGTGATACATGAGGTACGTCCTAAGATGAGAAAGTGGCAAGGATGTCCCCTACCACCACTCCTTTTCCACATCATACTGGGAGGCCCAGTTAATGCAATAAGGCAACAACATGAAATACATGATTGGGAAGGAAAAAATAAAACTGTCTTTGTTCCTAGTTGACACTATTGTTTACATAGGAAATCTGAAAGAATTGACAAAATCTCATTTATTAAAATTTCATATATTTTATAAAATATATAAAAGTCTCACTCTTTAATATATTTTATAAATATATAAAGGTCTCACTCTGTCATCCAGGCTGTAGTGCAGTGGCATGATCTCAGCTCACTGCAGCCTCTGCCTCCTGGGTTCAAGCGATTCTCCCACCTCAGCCTCCTGAGTAGCTGGGACTACAGGTATATGCCACCACACCCTGCTTAGTTTTGTATTTTTTTTTTTTTTTTGGGATAGAGAAGGGGTTTTACCATGTTGGCCAGGCTGGTCATGAACTCCTCTCCTCAAGTGATCCACCCATTTTGGCCTCCTAAAGTGCTGGGCTTACAGGCATTAGCCACTGCACCCAGCCTATAAGTCAATTGCTTTCCTATATATCAGCAATGAATCAGTGGAATTTGAAATTAAAAACAGAATACCATGTACCTTAGCAATCCCAAAAATAAAATATTCTTAGTTATAAATTTAACAAAATATACACAATATCTGTATGAGGAAAACTACCACACTCTGATAAATGAAATCAAAGGAGAATTAAACAAATGGAGAGATATTGCATGTTTTTACAAATAGGAAGACTCAATATTGTCAAGCTGTTGGTTCTTCACAACTTGATCTATATATTAAATGCAATCCCAATCAAAATTCCAACAAGGTATTCTAAAGTTTATATGGAGAGGCAAAAGACCCAGAACAGCCAGTACAATATTGAATGAGAACAACAAAATCTGAGGACTGATACTATCCTACTTTAAGACTTAATATAAACCTATAGTAATCAAGACATTGTGTTATTGGTCAAAGAACAGACAAATAGGTCAATGGAACAGAGAGTCCACAAATATACCCACATAAGTACTGTCAACTGATCTTTGATAAAGGAGCAAATACAATGTAAAGAAGCAAAGATGGTCTTTTCAACAAATGGTGCTAGAATAACTGAACACACATATGAAAAATATGAATCTAGACACAGACCTTACACCCTTCACAAAAATTAACTCTAAGTGGACCATATGCCTAAATGTAAAAGGCAAAACTATAAAAGTTGTAGAAGATAACATGGGAGAAAACTTAGATGACCTTGTGTATGACAATAACTTTTTAGATATAACACTGAAACCACAATCCATGAAACTGATAAGCTAGACTTCATCAAATTAAAAAATATTGCTCTCTCCAACATACAATGTCAATAGAATAAGATGAACCACAGACTGGGGGAAAATATTTGAAGAAGTCACATCTG